GGTTATCTTAAAAGAGGACAAAAAGGACAAAAAAAGGATTACATAAGGGCTCATAGAAAAGATATGGAGCCCTAAGTCACACAATTTTCTCCACAGTCATGGAGAAGGCTGGAAATCGACCTGAATGTTTTAGGAAAGCTGAGACTCATGCCTATGGGAAAACTTGGAACACCATTAATTACATCGGTAATGAGTATAGTTAACACTAAATCTGATGCGTTGACTTGAACATGGAAACACTATTTTTTTTGTGCATAAAATAAGAAAAATTACTAGTACGGACTTCACTCAGAGAAAAGAAAATCTGACTTAAACATGAGTATTTTATAGTCTTGTTATTAAGAGGAACAAAAGGTGAATGCACAGTGAAAAGAGCTTATTATTCTGCAAGGCTGTAAGAAGTGATTGGAAGTTAGGCCAGTTAATCTGGTATGATATGTAGGAGGGAACATGACATTCAATAGTTCTAATTCAGTAGCCGGCATTAGCTCTGTATTCCTAACGCAAACAATGAATTACTTCAAAGGAGACATGATGGCCGAAGTCAAAGTGACTAGATCTCTATTTCCTCATCAAAAATAAAAACTAAAAAAGTATTGCTTTCTTAGTACTAGCTTATGTTTGATAAAAGGAATCAACTATCTTTTCTGAGGAAAACTAAATGCTTTACATCATTTCTTACAAAAAGCCCACTCAAATGAAATAAAATCCTGACAATTAACCTGACCCTTGGACAGCCTGCATGAAGTATTTGCCAATTATAACTATGGAAGTGGTGAAACCGCAAAAGAGTATTTTTATCTACTGCTGAATTACTAAAATATTGCAAAATGTGGTATTTATGCAGCAGGATCATGCTCCCATCAGGATCTAATTGGAACTGTCATTGTATTAAATTCATCCATTAATTATTTTTTATATCTCAAAGAAAAATGTTGACTGCTGCTTGTTCCAGGAAAATTTCACTTGATTTTAAAGGAACAATAGCTTGCCCACAAGAGAAAGGAAAAAAAAATTAAATTCAAGCAGCAATCAGAAAACAACCTTACAATCAGCTTGTAATATGTTCTTTTCCAAATCACTAAAGCTCTGTCAATAAAGTATTAGCTAATATGCCAATGCTCTAAAAAGAAAACTATTGTTAACAGTCTAAGGGAAGGCTCAGATTTTAATCTACTTGTCAGTCACCACACTCTATCAGCTACAGCTTCTACCCAGGTGTGGAGGGTGCAGCCCAATACTGTTATGTTTACCTAAGGCCTACACACCACACACTGGCAGGGGCCTGCTGTGAAGGCTAGTGTGACACATCCCTCATCTTCTATCTTAATTACTTTAGTTTTAGGATACTATTAACTGCTGTACAACTATAAAGCATGGTATTTGCCAAGCTCGTTTAATTAATTTCCTGATTAATAATTTTGCATCACCTGTTGACTTTTTAATAGACTGATTATGATTAATGGTGACAACTGCAGTACATGTGCAATTTAGGTCTTGATCCTGCATTTTTGAAATCAGTGGAAGATTTTTCTTGCCTTTAATTGGAATAGTAGGAACAAATCCTTTTGGGGAGTAAACTTCCTTTCCTCTCAAACAATTTTTCTCTCACACTCCTGCGCTCTCCAACAGACATTGTAAAACTTTATATATAGATTCAGTACCAAGGATTTTTTGAAGTTTTCTTAACCTTATTCTTCTGAAACCCTTTGTCACCACAATCAAACAACTGTGAAATACAATATTTCCATATACACCAGTGGATCTACCTCTGTGGTAACTTTGTTAATTCAGCACTATACTCAGTAGACTTAAGATAAGACCACTGGGCTTATCTCCACCCTACCTGTCATCTGTCACTAACTACCGAGATTTCTGCTCCTGTTTCTAACACGACTTTGAGAAACAGGACATTTAGAAATAACATGCACTTAAAAAAAAAGCTATTCCCAAAAGTAAAGGTTGCATGATTAGGCTTTCAGACTGTGCATGTACGAACATGTACAGATGTGTCATTAGTCTTGAGCATACATACATACATATATAGCACTGTATTACAGAATAGTTTTACATAGATATCCTCACTTTCTGATACTTATCAGCCAGGACTGTCAATTCCCCATATTTCAGCTCTTCACAAAGACATGTTATAAGACATGTTCCTATGCAAAAAATTGGTTTTGATTTTTTAAAAAGGAGAAAAACATACAATTTTCAGGAAGGTTGTCTAAAAATCTGTGTAAAATGTAAAAATGCATAAAATACAGTTTAAAATAATAAAAAGATGTTTTTTAGCCTGAATTGTGAATGACTAAGTTATTATTAAGCTTCCATACATTTTAGTGCACAAGTTCTGGAATCATGCTTCAAGACTGTTTCATTATTTTGCTGTTGTAACCAACTTATAATATACCGTTATTAATATTATGTTAAAGTTTTTAATATAATCACAGCTAATATATAATGCTAGTAACATCATAAGCCTAGTAGTAACTTATTCTGAGTTCTGCTACACAGTCTGCGCAGTCAAGCCAAAACTGAAAAGTAGATTACACTTCCTTTGTCACAAACACATCCGGAGACTTCAACTAATGTGACTTCTAAACAAATGACAGTGCAATACTCTAAAACTGAGGTTTTTATTCAGGTATTTTAGCACATATGAATTCTAAGATGTGATTTATATGTCATTTATTTTATTTCATTATCTATGGTATACTCTAACTTCTTGCTGTTTATGCAGATTTTTCCATTGATGTTTCTTTTATGAATGTTAACAAAAAAAATGAAGTCCATTTGTCACTGTTACTTCTATAGAAATAGCACTAAATAATAGCTGGAATTTACACACATATTATACACATATTATGCTACACATTTATGGAATAAATTTCCCTATATTCTATATGTTTTATAAGTTTAGGATTCTTACTATGCAAGTTTGTTTTTCTGTCTTTTGAATTAGGTATCTTGATTGAAGGATTTCCAAGTGAGAAAATGACTCACCCTTTCTTCCTTTAAAATTCCAGTAAAAATAATGTATAACAACTACTGACCTGTAAAAAGAAGTTATCCACATGTTTTTGACATCTTCATGTTGACAACAAACATACTGTTACCATAATCATTTGCAGGTACATTCTGAAAGGCACAAAGCATAGATATTCCCAAGACAGATAGAGGGAGCTGCATCTCCAGTTTTACTCTTTAAAGAGGCATCTATAAACAAGGTGTCACGTTTAAATTTGTAAATACCATAAAAGTAAAAAATACTCTCTCCTTGTTTTTAACTGAGTATTACAACCAATCTAACTAGGCTTCAAAAAAATCAGCAAAAATATTATTTACCTAAAGATCAAGGTATAATGAAAAGGTTGCATTTCTTTCTATAAACACGTCTTATGATGGTATTGTAAGAAATTCAGGCAACCACTAATTTACTATGTTTTTTCAGCTTAAACTTTTTGTGAACAAATATTTCCCCCATCTCCTGTTTTGGTTATGTAACAGCAACATCAGAAAACATGGTATTTCACTAGTGAAATATGTCAAAAGGAATAAAACTATTGAACATCACCTTGTTTAATAAAGTTAGGTGGACATGTATTATAGTTTCCTGAAAAAGAAGAGCTTCTCCCTCTCACTCATACTGGGATAATTTCATGATAATTTCATGATAATTTCATCCAGAAAGGGAAACACAATTCTTACTGCATAGGAGACAGAGCCAAAACAAAAAAACAAACAAACAAAACAAACAAAAAACAGGAGTGGATTTAGACCGCTATATACCTTCTTATTATCACCTGTGATTAAGCATCAGAAAACTCCCCATGTATGGGGAGTGAGCTACCATTCTACCATCTACCCCTCTCCCGTCTTCCACAGGGGCTGGGAAGAGGGGAAGGGAAAGAAAGGAATTGTTCTACGTTCATTCAAATTATTTACAAGATTCACTATAGCACTACAGTCTTTTAATTAATCCACAAAAGTCTCTACTCTAATTCCAGCATACCCCAGGTGTAAAAAGACCTATACATTTGATTACACTTCTGAAAGAATTATAAATATAATGGCGTATTATTACAAGTTAGAGATTAGTTTTAAACAACTGTTATAGGCAGAAAAATAAATGCACGGCTATATAGAGAGACTCCCATAGTCTATTGAGTAGTGTTTGTAATCTGGGCATAAATGGTCTTACTTTTACTGATAGATCCTGTCTGGAGAGATTTTGGAGCACGGGCAAAACAGGTCTGAGCCATTCATTAATCTTGCTAGAGGTAAGGATGTTAAGTGGGTTGACAGCAACTAATTGGTCTATGAGTTCATTACTTTCCTTTTCATTCAAATTCCTCTCATTCTTCACAAGCACTTTTGTACAGTGGTACTCAAAACAATGAGTCAAGACTGATGTCTAAGTTATTTTAAAATTTAAACTAATCAAATAAGATCAACAACAATCTATATCTAAGACTGCTTGTTGAAGTCATCCTACACGTGCTCCATCACCCTTACCTCAGGGCATATTTTCTCATGCTTCCTCCCTCACAGTGGTGAGCTCTTTAGAGCATAAACTCTCCAACACCACGTCTTTTCCAACATAAAGAGGAATACTGTAGCCATTATTGTTAAGTGGATAGCAATAAATAATAGAAATGCTACTATAGAAAGCAGCATACAAATGTCTTATACAATATTTCCTACTAGAAGATAACCATTTGGTAAAAGTATCCACTGAAATAACATTTTTCCCCCATTTGTCCTACACTAAGAATCCTCTCCTTCAGGCTATCATATGTGAAATACCTTAACAAATCTATACAAATGCTGACATTTTAAATAAGAATTTTTTTTCAAAAGGCAATCTCTGTACGTTACTTCAAAAGACTCAGGAGATATTATTTTACATTTGCAATTGATTAAAAAAACTTTTTTAAATCAATGAAAAAATATTGTTTACATTACTGAAAACAGAATACATGGTTAGACCTTTACATTATAAAACACTGAAACTTTATTTTTCTTTAGGCAACAACAGTGAAACAATAGTAACAGCTGTTGGCAGGCCCTCACATAGTTAAATAGGCTTTAAATATAGCTATTTGCTTATAATTTAGAATGGTGTTTTTAAGAAGTATTTTATTTTAACTATAAAAACCTCATAGCATAACTGTGTCTAATCTTCAAACAATCATGTGTTTTACTACTGTCTACCATCAGTGATCTCTTTCCAGATAGGTACTTTAGACTATAAACATTAAAACTTGACCTTCTCTTGCACTACCGGTTACCAGTTTACCCAGTTAAATCAAAATTTTAAAACATTTCAATATAAAGCATGTTTACAAGGCATAGAAATAGTCACATAGCAGGTTTCCGATCCTTTTTTAAATTTTTCCACGTCCTTTTGAAGTACTGACATGAAAAAATACCAATGAACGGTAGCAATATGCTCTGCACAGCCATACTGTTTGGCAACACCACTGTCGCCCCACAGCTATTACTTGATATTCTTCTCTTACACATCTCAAGTTTCTCTTCCTCCTGTCATGTTTAGCACCGTAGTATTGCCGTATTTCTTGTAAACATGGGCTACAGTCCTTCTCCTTAGATATATTATCTTGTGTTTGGCTGTATTAAAATGAACGTTGCTCAGGTTGCATGGCAACATTTTAGAAATGATGTACGATTTGTATCTTGACAGCATGATTTGGTTTTCAGTGAGCCTGTAACTTTCCATGGTACACTGTCTTCATAAATAAAATTTTTGGTTATGGTGAAAAATGTTTAGTTCTACTAATGTGTCATGCATACCATGTTAGGAAAGTTTAACATATGCTACGTATACCTGAGTCTTGAAAAGAACATAGAGATCTTATATTCTTCACCTAATACAACTTTACCTACTAAATGAAAATGAAACACTTAATAGATACAAGAGCACGTTGGCTAATGATAAACAGAAGTTTTTCTGGAAAAAACAGAAAATTCTGCTTTCAGGTGCTTTTAAACGTAAATTAAAATCCATGCACTCTCCATATCACCAGTTCAAAGCTGAAATTAAGGACACCCCGAGGGGAACAAAACAGATCATCATCTATGGAGAAGAGCTCAATGACTGACGCCCTGCCATGGCTGTGGAACTCAAACCCAAAGGTAAGGAACTGACAATAGGAATACAGTATTGAGTCTTGGTCACGAGCATAAGAAATTGTGCCTTTTAAATTAGATTGGAGGAATTTTCAATATGTACATTTCAATATGGTATCTTAACTAAAAATAACTTCTGGTATTTATATTTAATGTTAGGATTTAAAAAGTCTATTTAAGGTATAGTCTCTTGTCTCTAAATTGTCAACAGTAAATAATATTATTTGAAGTGGTATGTTGTATTTAATATTTAATAGCATACATAATGAAAGTGAAATATTGAAATTTCAGAAAAATATGAAGTGCCCATCATAATTCAGCTGTTATTTCAGACTAGTGATGTAAATCATGATGTATAAACCTAAGAACATCACTGATATTAGATGGCTTAGCTCTACCAAGGAATTAAGATATTTCAGTATAGTGTATATTATAGATGGTGAACCTAAATTTCAACTTCTTTATGTCAATATGACTCAAACAACTCCAGTGAAGTAATCAAATTTACATCAACATAAAGAGGATGTTTGATGAAAATCAAGCCTGAAGTCACCCAGTCAGTTTTCTTTCACAAGCTAGTGTAGTAATCATTTAATTTAGAGTCAGAAATTCAGAATTTTCTTATTCTACCAGCCAAGCACCAGCTTTAGCAGAAATGAAATGCTGCTACATATTTGATTATCCAAATAAAGATTTTTTTTCTTCTTCTGAAGAGATGAGTCAGAGCTCGAAAAAGTTGAAACTTACACTATTTTCCCGGTTATCTGTAAGATAACAAAGCAACAGTCTTTTAAGATAAAATACAAACTCAGAGCTCGATCCATTTCATATTTATTAGCTTTATCAAAAAAAAAAAATTCTTACAAATTATACTAGTTAGCACAGCATCCAAATAGGAATCTAGTGTTAAAATGGACCACTTAAAAATAATTTACTATGCTCCCTAGTAGCAACTCTTAATAAACCATCAGCAGCAAATGAGAATACGGCTTAAGACCCACATAACCCCTTTTTTGATGAGTTAATTATAATTGAATCAACACAAAAGCTTTACTGGATCTATGCGCAGAAGTTAGGGCCACAGAAAGAAATCTAAATTATCTACTACAAATCTTCCTCCAGTTGTTGCTGCTTTTAGTATCTGCATACAAATAGTGAACTTCTAAGCATCTTTTTTTCCCCCAAAATACATTCATTATTTAGATGCCATAAACATTATCTAACCAGTTGATCACTCAGATAATGTAAAAATTTACTAATTAACAAAGGTAAAAGCCTATTTACAATTTCTTGGGTAAAACATCAGATATTAATTTATTTAAGAACTAGTAATTGGAATAGTCCTACAGGCATTCACGCAATGAATCAATAGAGACACAGAATTTCATATATCGTGAATTCTTAGGTTACTTTAAACTTACTCTAGACTAAATTAGTCATCTGACTCAGGTGTGCTAAATCAATCCCTGCAAAAATGTCTCTCTCTCAATCAGCCACTGAATTTAGATTGTTCATGTCAAAGTACTGAATTAAATCTAAAGGATATAGTGTCAATGCACCCAAATTGTAATTTTTATAAGGTCTGGTTTTGATACTCTTTTAAAAAAGTTGTCTTTTTTGTATAACTAGTGACACCCTCTCATCTACCCATATTTTACCTTTTGATGTCCTGTTTTCAACGCTACACCCCAAGTAAAAAGAAATACAAAAGTAAAAAAGAAATGTTTCCCAACAGCATTTTTTTTCACTTAATTTTTCAATGTGATACTATCTGTTCAGTTATCCTTCTCGAAGAGGAAATTTTAGGAAATCATACAATTTTGTAATCATACATTTTGCTCTAGAGCTTCAAAGCAGCTCTTAACTTGGCAGACCTCCCTCTTGGGTTTGTTTGAACATCCTTGGCCTGGGGTGTGAGAACTTTTTTCTGTATAAAAACCCACTTTGAGTTGGATTTTCCATGGGAAAATTCCTCTGTGTCTTCTTCTTTGGAGCAATTTTTTAGACCTTGTCTTATCTTCTGCCTTGAGCCAAGGTTGTACTTTTCTGTCATGTCTATTCCATACAGAAAACGTTTGATAATACGATCTTCTAGTGAATGAAAAGAAAGGGCTACAAGTCGACCTCCAGGCTTTAGAAACTTCTCAGCTGTCTTCAGCCCCATAAAGAGTTCATGGAGCTCATCATTTACAAATATTCGCAGTGCTTGGAAAGTTTTGGTAGCAACATGAGTAGGTCTCTGAAGCAAGTCTTTTCGCGCGTACAATGCTGATGCTGGAAAAGCACCTGTCAAATTTTAAAAGGTATAATATTAATATTTTGTTATTTTTATACTCCTATCCTGACATCAATCCTCTCATGCATTATGATTTTAAAGGAAAATATACTTACAACTGAACCCAGAGTAGTGAGCTTCCTTCTTTATATTACATCTTTATTGTCTGCTTTGAATTCTCTTTTCTGAAAGCAAACCCTATTAAACTGAGCTGGCTTACAGTTGGGTGTTCTTTTTTCCTAGAACCATTCATAAAAACTGATTCCTCAAATGCTTCACAAACTTAAAATGCAAAATAATAGCTGAAACTGAAATGGGGAAAAAAGGAAGATAGAACTAGATAAATCCTATGCCTTACAACTCAGAGTAGTCAATGATAGCTCAGTATTTCTGTGTTGTGGTTTGTTTTTTGTTCTTTGTTCAGAAAAAAAAATTATATATAATGTATGATAGACACCCAAATTTTAAATGTTGCCTTCTAGATAATTATGCATTAATTCACAGGCAGATAAGAGCAAGACGATTCTCGCCTGGTGATAAATATTTTTCAGTTCATTACTTAAAGCTTAAAAGAGGCATCCTTGTGCGGATATAAAAATTGTTGACCTCTGTGTCTTCATTCCTTCAAATGTTCACAAAAATATCTTGAGAAATTTACAAAAAGCAATTGACATAGTTGCGCTCTCACATGCCCATACAGCAGAAAGTGTCAGGGTATGAATTTGTTAAAAAAAAAAAAAAAATCACAAGATTAAATAATTTAGACTAGTTGCATAAAATTCCCTCCTCCTTCCCCCAAAATTTTAATTAATTATACGAGTCTCTGTAGAAGCAGAGAGAGAAAAGAGATTGAAATTTTGGTGGAAACTTTTTAATAGCATTATTTAATACGTTTTAGGCTTGAATCTTCATTATTTGAGTATAGAGCAAAGAGCTAGAGAAGTCAGAGTCAATGGATCAAAGGAACTGAAGTGCAAAAGTCTTACAAAAGCTGTGTAATCCTGAATAAATTTATAATCTACTATGTAAGTGAACGCAGGAGTCTGGTTAAGGTAAACTGAATGAATAATGATAGTGTATAAAGGGAAGGAATTTTCTTCCAAATAAGACATCCAATGAGAGGTAAGGCAATGTATCTGATACTTATGTATTAAAGTGTCGTAATTCTACGGCTACTCTAAACTAGAACATAATAAAGCCATGGTTTTGAAGTAAATGCAGTTCATAATCAAGTAACTGATATTCTACATAGAGGAGTAAAAAGGAAGAAAGGAGTATGGTACCTCTGAAACAAGTAAGTTCACATCTACAAAAGTGAGTAAAGTAGGCAATAAGAAAATTTAATACTGATATCATAATCCAGTATGCTGACACAAAATATCTTATTAGTGGAATTTTTCAGAGTTTGATAGGTAAGCTTTTACTTATTTGAGAAAACATAAGCATTCAGCATCATGCATACACAAATGATTACCAGTGCTTGACAAAGGGAGAGGTCAATGATGAGACTAAAAAAATTCAATCATTAATAACAAAGCTATTTTCCGATATGTGGTGTTAACCCCCCCCCCCCCCCCCCAACAAAACCCAACCAAGCAACCTGAAAAACCCAAGTCCATAGCTGGAGCTGTTTCCTGTTACTCTCTTCAAGACAGAAAGTAGCAACAGGATCCACTTCTCCCAACACAAAATACTGCCCAGAAGTTCATAAGAGTTTGTAGTTTAAAATTCTGTTTCACAAAATAGAGTAGACAGATTTAATCTGTGAGAAACTGAGATCCTATATTTCTTGCAAACTATAGAAAAAAATACACTAGGTAGCTACTTTAATCTCTGTTCTTGAGAATACCGCAATCTGTGTTCTTCGTGTAAATCATAAGAAAAAAGAGATACTGATACTGTCAGAGTCACAAAATCTGACCTGATGAAGGGCTGAACCAAAAGGAGAACTTAGAATATCAGAAAGTAAGATGTCTCAAAAAAACAACTGACACCAAGTTTGTGTTATTTGGCACAATACCTATTTCCATATTTCTTTACATATCTAAAAATACATTCTGATTTGAAGACGGAATCCTAGAAACTACCACTAACTGCCATTTATAGGTGAAGAAAACTGCTTCTTAACAGGTAAGAGAATGCTGTGCTGAGCAAAATGAACAATTTCCTTTAAATGGTCAATAACTACAAATACTAGTAGTTTGCTCAGCACTCTTGGACAGTTATTAATTGTATTAAAAGAGTAGGGTTTAAAAGCAGGATGTAACATATCCAAAATACTATAGGACAAGCAATGTCAGAAGGAAGACACAGATATTCCACTTGGAAATTTATGCATTCACTAAGTGACTAAAAATATATAGCTTCATAGTCTCCCTAAGAGCTATTCTAGTTTTAATTCACAATAGGATATTTCTTCAGCGGAACTGAAAGTTCTCACGTGTGATACCTGAGTATCTTTCTGAACTAACTTACAGAAGTTATGGATTTCTTGAGATGAGAAACTACTGCTTTTGTAAACGCTCTGACACCACAAACCTGTTTCCTGCTTTTTGCAAGCCTGCATTTAAAAATCTTGAACATATATCTCACTCTTCCATCCCTCATTCCAAAACCAAGCCCATCCCCTCATTCTCACTTACTGAAAATAGTTAAAACTAGAATGAAAAAGCACTGTTCCCTTACAAAATATTAGCTACTAGCAAGCTAATGGATTAGAAAACAGAAGGCATTTTTTGAATTCTACCCATGTTTATTCTATTAGCTTTACACAGTACCTCTGTTCTCATGCCATTTGCTGAAAAATTTACAGCTCTGACTTCAAGAGCATCAGTTTTATACTTTCAAATTTGGGCTGTTGCTATCCAGAGTTCACGTTCACCTCTCAAAGCAAGACTCAGAATTTTTAAGCATCATATATTCATGGTCTAAATACTAAAGTAATTTCTAAAAATACTGCTGTTTTTCTGGGGATGATCCATTTCCGATGTTCTGAGAGTATTCAAAGTTCCAAAAGCATCACAGAAAAAAGTGAAGCCAATCCACAAGAGGGCAGGGTAGAATCTGGGTACAACTCTGACTGTTTCTATTTTTTGGGACTTACCCATAAAAGCAGAACCCTGAATGAGATCTTTTATTTAAATATCCACAGCCCTTCACACTGGAATTTTAGTCAACTACTGAAAGCTTTATCTTCTATGTCATCAAAACATCTTTTACTTATCTGAATAATATAAAGATCTACTCTATTTCAAAATGGCTTTTATAGAAATCTAAATAGACTTGACACTGTCTGACCTTTCATGGTCTGACCATGAACAATACTGAATGGACAAATAAAAGAAATGAGATACTCAGGCTACTAGCATGTCTAGAACACTAAAATGTCTTAGGAAGGTTCTTCTAACTGTGTGGCCCTGGTAGAGTGCAGTGTCTTCCTGCAATATCAATTAACCATGCTTCGAAATATCTGTAAAGTAAGAGATAGATTTGAAAATTGATACAGACTTATGACATACGTTGAAAAAAAATTAAATCTCAAATATATTCTGTAAGTATAATACAGCCTCGTACGCCTCAGATGAACATGCACAAATAGCACTGCAGGTCATATAGAGCAGTACAGCATACTAATATTCCCAGTAACGCTTTGCAGCTTCATGTGCCTAAAACACCACATCTAAAACCAAAACTAAACCATTTTCAAGGCCTATGACTTACTGATCTGTCTTCAGAGACCGCTAATAACCAATAAATATCATTTGTGGTTGTGATTTTTGTCATACTGGCCCTTCATCTTTTTAGCGCAGGCAGTAGATCTGGTTTATGCTACAGGGGTGAACAATTTTTCTGCCCCACTGTTAATCCTGATATAGTTTAATAATAACCTATTGGTGCTTTCTGCTACAGAACAAAATTCCTCGCCCAGCCCTCTCCAATTATCATGACACAATCCTTCCTGGTAATAGACTGTACAATGTACAATAATATTAAAAAAATCTGTATGGGAAGCTTGTAAAATGGATTTCATTCATAAAAACACCACGCTTCTGGCTAGAAGACTGGTCTGAAATCTCAGTGAGAGAAATTATCATTTTTAGTTTTGGGATGCCCTCACCCTACCTGCACTTTTAAAAATCTAATACATTCACGTGTTAAAGTGTATTGAAATTTTTAAGCTTGTGATTGAAATTAGTAACGTGCTGTGCCTGTCAATATGAACTATTAAAGTCCCTAGAGTATATGACAGTGGGAGAGTTTATAAATTATATTCAGATCCTGCACCTGTTTGCAGGAATCCGTCTGTTGAATTAGCATTGCATTTAATAAGTTTCTGTGATGCAACTAATGTCCTTTTGTCCAGGCTCCTTCAATACAGTGTTAATTCACACCCATCTGAAATTCAGGCAATATTACAAATTTCAGACTGATAATTAAAAAGTCTATAAATGGGGATAGATCTGGATGAGACGGGCTTTACCCACTAGTTCTTTGTAAACTTTTCAAATTTCTTTAATAGCTCATCATCAATTTCTGTCAACTCCAAATGATTACATGATCTCAAAATAATCTGTTAATAGATTACCTATCTGAATGACACTGAGAAAAATTATATTCTGAACACAAAGAAAGAGATAACAAGGTGTATTACCAACTGAAAAGAAATCAAAGTACATGATCGCTAATATGGAAAAAGCATATTAAAATTACATTTTAAAAAAAATCGGTATTTAATTTTTCCAACCAGTTTTAACCCATGTCCTGTTAAGCCTAGCATTTCCAAACAGAACCCAACTAGCTACAGCAAAAGCCATTGCAAAGTGCTTCTTAATTGACTTCCACTCATCTATTCACAGATCTTCAGTTAAGAACCACTGATGTCTAGCATTTACAGAGCATTCATCATTATAGATAGATGTGTGAAAGGAATATAAACAGTGGGTGGGTTTGGTTGGGCTGCAGGAAGAGATAACGTTCATAGGAGTGAATAAAAAATGAGACATCCAATAAGATTTTGAGATTTGAGTGCATCAGGGTTACAAGATAGCTGACATGGTTAAACTTTTAAGTTTTACTGATTCTACGAAGACATAACTCCTACTACTTCCCCTAAGTAAACTACAAATTCCAAAACAACGAGGTCTGCTTATTTAAATGAATCAGAAGCCTTTTGGATGGCATTGAAAAAAAATATTAAGCCAAAAACTTTACTACTTTTTTTGTACAAATTCATTCATTGGAACAGCACGTAGAGAGACGACCTTCAGGCTCTACACTAACAACTTGAATGAAGTATGTTCTTGAACTGGAACACAGGGCTGAAAGAAAATATCTGGATACCCGAGTTAGCCCCAAGCTGCTGACAGCAACCCTGAAATACAAATCTACTTATAAATTTATCACACTATATGTCAAAAGCATATCTCTTGCCAATAAAACTTTACAAATTTCTGATTTTTCTATGAGCTTAAATTTTTTTTTATTTCCTGTACGCTTATCACCCATCAATTTATTAAGAACAACATTACTTCCTCCGATTTGTTTGTTTGCTTGTTTAGACCAAAAGTCTAACATTCTACCAGCTAGTCCAAACCTAGCTTGGACTTGGTCAGATTCTGGTTATCAGCTGGATCTTAACACAGAAGTTCAGATTTTTAGAAAATCTGAAGCCATAGTAAACTAGGTCTTACGAAACAAATATGGACTATACATAAATTCTCAGATACTCAAACCAGGAGGGAAATTTTTTCTTTTCTCGCTCCTATACTGGGCAAAAAAATGATCCTGTTCGGGAGAAGAAATCACGTTCATATAGAGCCTGTGAAATCTAAAATGTAAGATTTTATTTTTCTATTTAATTTTTTTAAAGGACTTCACATTTAAACAATGGGTCAGAGATTTTACGCTGGATAAATCCTTAATTAGTTTCGGCCACCAAGTGGGTTCTGCAGCTGTGGTCTCTGGCCCTTTAGCTCTGGCTTACCTCAATTACTTCACAGGTATCATTTTGCAGAAGAACATATATTGATAAAAGATAAGTTACACAAAATACGTTATAGTTACCAGTGCTTGGTGGTTTGTTTCCTCTTTCATTTGAAAATTATTCATTATTTAGAAATTTTCTTAAGGTATAATCAGTTCAAAAGCTAGTAAGGCTCCACCCTTGTGCTCCTTACCAGAGAAATCAAATTAAAATCATAAGAAGTTCTACCCAAACAGGTACCAATGTAATAATCTAAAATTGATTTAATTACTCGCACACTTTAAAAAAAGGCACATATAAAACATATGTATTTACCAACTGTCTTGGTGGACGTATGCTAGATTTTCTTTGACATGTATACTGTACATGCATACTTGATTCACATATCAAACTGCTCTTAAAATATAGGTAAGAGTTTAAAATGGGGAAAAAAAAAAGCTCTCATTTTCACCTAAAGTGACCATTAGGCGATGACTCACATGTAACCCATTAAACATGAAGGCATATTTGATCACTGTCTTTTATATGCTCTAATGTTTTTATTTACTCAATTCAAGCTAGTGGGTAAAATTAATTTGGAAGTTATTGTGTTTTTCTTTTTCTTTCTTTCTTTTTTTTTTTTTTTTAACAGCACATGACACATTATCTCTCTAATATAGCAATATGGCTGCTTTAAACGTATTAGTAACGGTACACCTTTAATTAACAGTCTTCCAAAGAGCATGAGATACATGCGCCAACCCCTTTTCCCCATATTATTAGCTCATAAAGTTGATTACAATGATTATTTTAAAAATGTAACTTGTCAAGTATATTAAAGGCCCATGTAGTGATTTACCTCTTTGTTATTCAATATTATTTGTTCCCACATAAACTGTTTTTCCCACATAAACAGTCTTACTATAGCAAGGAGTCCCTTCAGGTACTTTTATTATATCAACAAACTTTGGGCCAGGGTTAACCTGAAAACTTGTTCAAGGATCCTGACTTATACAAATCCAAAGCTTCTGTTTGGTAGTATTTAAAAATAAGTCCCTATTAAATTTACTAAAGGTTTATTATTAATTAATTGTCATCTTTGTCAATTATTGATTGCTATTCTATTAATTATCACTTATTAGAAATTATTAAATTTACAGCTTAGGTAATTAAAATTATTACTGTTTTCACAAAAATTTGCCTTATTTTTATAATAATAATTTTAAGGTCTTCAGGATATACAACTTTAACACTATTCTTTACTAAATGTGAAATCCGGAGAGTCAGTTTTGAGGTCTAGATTCAGAGGGGTCAACAATTTAAACATATCTTTGACAAGACCCAGTAATTTTCATTTCTTGGGGAAAAAGAAGTTATATATTATAACGTTAAGGCACAGTATTTAACTTTTCTCCTTTAAAGTTTTCACTCCAGAACACAAACCCGTAGGCTCTTGTAGTGCCTATCTACATTTTGCTCAAGTTGTTTACAGTGATGAGCAAGTAAGATAAAGCATTTCAATAGGCGCTTCAGGCTGATCCAGTTGGCATTCACAAAGTGAAGCAAGCTATATACCCATTTTGCTTCCTGGGTCTTTAAGGAGAGAAATAATCTAATTTCATTTCTTACTGGAAACTGGTGTGGTACTTCTCTATCCCCCCCACCAAAATACTAAAATGTAGAAATCTGAGAGAAGCATACGACGTATCTGATATTTGAAGGCTTATCCATAGCTGGAATAAAGAATTCCCTAGGCTGCTCTCATTCTATGTTTCAATCGGGTTGGCACGAATGATAAATCACTTCATGTAAAATCTATTATTTTACTAATCGGCAAACTACAGTAGAAAAAGTGGGAGCTTACAAAACAGAAAAAAAGAAGAGCTGACATCAGAGCAGAATAGGCAGGATTAGATCCTGCATGATTTCAAGTACAAATAGATCCCTCTGGGACTTTGGGGATTAATATTTTTTCTCTCTCAGCCACTGCAAAGAATTAATGAGGGTACCTGCAACAATGCTTGCAAGCTGCTGAGTTCTGGTGATGGGGTATATGCTGCGTGCCTGAACGATGGCAGAAGCGATTTTCTTGGCATGCCTCTCCTCCCCGTATGTTCTCAGGATGGACGCAAGCGCCTGTTGATCTAAAGCATTCACAACATCAGCAGCAGTGGGCATGTCAGGGTACCTACGCACAAGAAGAGCCAATTAGTTCACTGACGTCAGTTTTCATTGACAAGAGGTGAAGCTTCATAGCATTGAGACATAAAGTCAAACACACACACTGCATACAAGTGCCTTTGAGGTTTTAAAATAAGAGACAGGAACCCTATGAAAACGGATATAGCTTGTACCTTTTAAATCCTATTTCTTGCTACTTTAGATGGAGTATGTTCCTTAACATTAATTAGGCTTCCAAGCATTACAATACAGCTATGCCTAATGAGTTGACAAGAATAAATATATTTCAGTATCATGTTAAAATGGAAATGCTGCAGGACTGTGTTTATTTAGAGAGCTTCAGAATATAAACTTGTCCCTTACAGGTTCATTTTAGTCACCTCGTATAATATGTTGTTTTCTATTCAGAACTGATCTCAAGGATCTTTTCTGTCACATCTACTGCTATGAAAATAATTGCTTATGAAAATAATTTAACTTTACTGCTCATTACAAGGCATCAGAATTTATATTCAAATACTGTTTTTGAGTGAATACAAATGACCTAATATTACAAATGAAAAGCTCTATTAAAATATAAATAGTACACACCATACATACTTATTTTTTTAATCTATGTCACTTTGCTACTGAAATAGTTCAAGGTAGTTTATGAACATTATATGCACGTTTACTAAGGCAGAAAGAACATACAACCTACTGCTTAATAAATCCTCTTCTACAAAGACACTAACATGCAGAATATTTTCCAGCCATTTATTACCCTCCTGCAGTATCTTATAAAAGGTAACAAAACTTAGAAATCAGAGGCAAGTAGTATCATAGCAACAACCGTAGTGTAGGCTTCTGTTGTGCCACAGGTATTCTTTGTTCTTATGATACTGTTACACATATGCATTCTTATGATACAAATACAAGCCTTAAGTTCAGATTCTTGAAATCAGAGGGGTGAATCCCAGTAGGATCATCTGAGCTTTTTACACGAAAAAGCTCACTGGAAAAAGTGAGTATCATGAAGTTCGCTGTGTTAAGACTTCTGAATAATTTCTCAGTAACTGAGGTTTCCCACAGGCTCTACATGAAAAATGAAAGGTCAAATGATATTTCTTAAGACTACAGGTTCATCAAAATACTGGGCAAGAAATTTTAATTTTCCTAGTAATGCATTATGCAATTACTGTCATCATCTACACAACAGAGGTCTTTATTTTTTCTTGAAAAAAGTACAACGCTATATTAGGTTGCTTGAAAACTCCTACATCAATAGAAGTTATTCTACTACTGCATTTCATCCTCTTGACTGTTCTCAACACCAATTCTGATAATTTAGGTACACTTGAGATTTACTAGTAGTTGTTAATTTGTGACTTAAGTAAGTCTGATATGCCTCTTTCATAACGTGAAAGGAAGCTGATAACATTGCTAAGGAGAGCTTACAGTAAAATCTGTGCTCGCATAAGACAACATTGTACTCTTATGTTAAGAGCAATGTTGCTATCTGATTTTAATTGACAGGTATCAAAGATAAGATCTTTTTTATTTTCTTGTTTTTAGTTTTACATTATATTCATGTGAAAGAGAAGTAACTGGGTCAGACAGCCATTCCAGAAAAGAGGGAGGATGTTCCTTTCCTGAAGGAACAACTGAACATGCTTAAGTGAAGTTTCCATAAATAGCAAGTATGGCAGAAAAGGAAAGGGATCCCAGGGAGGAGTTGTGAGCCTGTAGATCAAAGAGAGTCTAAAAAACTGCTGAAATAACAGGGAGAAAACAGGCCTCAGAAAGTGAAGAAAAACAAACAAACAAAAAGCCTCCTAGAGGCCAAAGGAGACTGTGCAGAGCTTGCTGCAATGCAGCTAGTCCTGGAGTTGCTGAAACCAAGACTGAAAACGTCACAATGACCTAATAGGAAAGGGCAGAGTAGCTTCTCCTTGGAAAGGGAGGAGGAATTCAAAAACAAAAACAAAACACCACACAAACAAAATCCTGGACTGTCTCACCTAGTCACTTCTTCTCAATTAAAAAAAAAAAAAAAGATGTAGTTAGTATATATTTTTTTGACCTTTAAAAGCCCATGAACTTTCTTGGGGAACTCAGCATAGGAGAGGGTCTAAGAAATATACCTCAAAGCTCTGGCTAACTCAGTGACCTGTCAACATAAGCATCCTTGGCAGCTTCTTTACTCTCTTCAAGGTTATCAGAAATCTTTCAGTTTTACATTAGAAGCTGTCCCAATAACCATACATGCCATATATCACAAAAATAACTTTAATAGTTAAAAAATGTTATTGTTCTAATTACTCATTGCTAGATCTACCTTCTTATTTTGAAGAGCTGAAAGAGAACATAACCAGGGTTCTAAGTATTCAGATCCAGAAAGGTTTAATGGCAAAAGAAAGCAAGCATGCTAGTGCAAAATTAGATCTGGTTTTATGACAGAACTCTTCAACTTGAAATAAAATGAAATGCACAAGAGTTTGCTGAGCAGAAGCTTTTGGAGTTCTCAGGATAAATATTTTATTAAGAGTTACCTGTCACTATCCATCCTCATGTCCAAAGGACCGTCCTTCTGCAGTGAAAAACCTCTTTCAGGTGAATCAAATTGCATCGAAGAACAGCCAGCATCCAAGAGAACTCCATCTAGAGTTCCCGGCTCAACTCCAGATGAGATTAACAAAGCCTCTGCCTGGCTAAACTGTCCTAGAAGAGCTCGAATCTGTTTCCTGTAAGAAATCATAAATTAATAGTCTCAATTTTAATTATAACAGTGAAGTGCTTCTCCATTATATAGTAGGAATTAGATAACAGTGCTCACATGACTCAAAATCAACAGGGCTATAACCAAAATAATAGGTTAGGTAGTTTTTATAAGCCAACATGCAAAACCGTGATGCAACCCACCATCACTGGCTACTTTTTACTTCCTTCCTGTTTGATCTCAGACTTCTCCAAACGCTCACAAAGAACAAGGCTGCTTTAAATCTAAAATAACTGATGGAACAATACCTAATCCCTAGATCAGGCCGACCAAACAAGCAAATCAGAACACATCTAACGCACGCCAGTAAAACCAGGTCTTCACAAAACGCAGTGAAAGCGCATTCAGTTAAAGTTTTAAGTATAAGCGCGCCAGCCTCCGGCAGCCACACAGCTACCTTTTATATAATAGCCTCCTATTTAGAGCACTCACTCAAGGGAAACAGAAATTCAATTCCATTTTTCAACATGAAGAGACTCAAAGGCACATCTCTCATGTCCAGTGGGAATGCCCTAACCATCAGGGTATCCAACGCTCTGAGTAGGGCTCTTAGTTAAGTTAGGCCAAAAGGCAGAAAAGAACAAAAGATGGCTGGAGTTAAAGCAAAACAGGCAAGATGGAACATGACTGTACAGCCTCGTGGTTAATACTTAATCCGAGAGGAGAAAATCTCGGGTTTCTGCCATTGAACAAGCCCTATTTTTATGGTATTTATCGTTTCAACAATAGTTGGGCAAGATTAGGTGCACTGGACCATGAGCAGATAAAATATTTCTGTGTAATTCTGATACAGCCACCTAATCACTGGAGAGAACAATTTCATTCATGCGCTTTTGTCCTTAGCATTTTTCCTACTGAGCTTTAAGGTGGTTCTTCCTTAATATGCCTGTGCTGTAAAGGGAAAGTGCAGTGGCAACGGAGGGGAAAAAACACATCTCCAAGGTCCCCAACTCCTTCTTGGTGTCTAAGCCTGTACTTTTGATTCTAGTCTATTAGGAGACCTATAATTAAATCATTGTTGGAGCTGGCTGTCAAAATCTCAATCATTCTAAAGATTTATAACGTAAAACAACGTGCTTCTGCATATTTAAGTAGTACCTGCAAAAACCAATACATTACTGCCCCCTAAATAGAAGCAACAGCCCCCACGTTTGAGTTTTGATAATGGTTTCAATAAGCGCTCCTCAGCCACATGGATTAGCGTTCAGGTACTGCAAGGTCAGCTGGGTTAACTTAAATCATTGTGTTCAAGTTACATGGACAGCAGAGAGCGGATGGAGAGAGCAATTCCTTAAACTGTTCCAGTCACAAAAGGAAAGCTGCCTATACCTTTCGACATTTTAGCGTTTTAGACACTCAAAATGAGACAACTGCCTTTTAAAAATATCAGCTTAGTTCCAATCCTTCTTTCTGATCATTTTAAACGTTGACATAACAGGCACTATGACACCATTTAGCCAACTACAGTGGCTTCAATTTTAAAATAGTGCATGAACAGAGAATGAGAGGTATTTTTGCATTGATCCAGCTGGAGTAAATAAGAAAATGCTATGAGGGGGGAAAGAGAGAAAATGCACCATTTAAAATAAAATTTTATGGCAGATGAAAGAACATTTAGCTATATAATGGTATCCTCCTTACAGCAGAGTGAACCAACTTATTTAACATAGTACCTCAACTAGAAAATATCTGGAAAGAACATACATTTCATGAAGGGTATCACGATCACATATACACATTTCTGAATTTATTACTGTATAGTACAAAACTAAATACAACTATTCAGCTTATTAATAAGAACTGTTAGTTCCTGAAAAGTACAGCAATCCACTCAATATATTTGCTCTAATTTAAGCTTAACAGTTACAGCTTTGAGATTACTCTTCCCCTCAGTACGAGAGGAACTTCCTTGAAAATCCATTTCACTTTGTCCAACTGCAGTTTTTCTATTTTATAACTTGCATAAATGAATGAACTTTACACTTCTGTATGTGATGGAGAGAAATAAACGAGAACAGGAGAAAAAAAAAAATCATAAATTGCTCTTATTTAGTTTCCCCACTAGAGAGTACTCCATGTTTGGGGGCTATGAACTAGTGCAGTATTCTGCTACCAATCACTTTGAAAAATTAGTTTGGTCTGTATCCTCATGACTTGCTAGAAATTTGATTATGTTTCTTTAAGCAAGTCATAAATAAATGGATGTCTGAGATGTTTAGGACAGTAGCCTTCGATTTATGGTCTGCCAACCCTTTGGGATTAAGAAAAGGTAATTAAAAAAAACAAGCCTATTTGAAGTAAGTTGAAATTTACTATTTGGGAGAGGCATCCTTCAGCTGGAAAATGTTTTGGAGTTTGCAAATACAAAAGGTTGAAAAAAAAAAAATCAGGTTGACATTTTGATGTCAGTCTTTCACCTGTGTGAAAATACAGCCTGTGTATATTATCTGTACATAATGGACTTTTCCATAGGATTGTAATGATGATAATGATGACATGGAATAATCTATATGATTATGAGAATGACACATTTATTCAAAGAAAAAAAATTTTTAAATGTTCTTTATTCAGAAGATTTTATTAGACCATAATAAAATCTTCCCTCTGCCTACGTTCAAATAATAACTGCCTGGTGAGCACATGGTTTTCTCCAAAAATGTTTTAATTTAGACTCAATTTCTTCTGCCTTCAGATTGTTTACATTCTCTGTCTCATTTTCCAAATAGCCTCAAATAAATGATCAAATAATAAAAATTTATGAACCTTATGCTAAATATGTTTATTTCCTACAGTCATGTGCCTTCTGCTATCCCCAGGTACGCAGAAATTCTTTGTATTTTCTTTTTCATTGTTCCACTGTTTACTTTGTGCATTAGAAAGATCTGTTTTCTATGATCATATTTACCTAGTGTGAAAACCTGACCACTGTCCTCTTCTGTATTAATATATTGCAAAAAACAGTAGTTAGTGGAAAAATCAGGAACGGTAAACCAGTGACTTAGGGAACATCCCAAAATATTAAATGAAATAGCCTGGCATATAGCTCAGAAAAGCCTGAGAAGAGAGAGGATATGGAAACATGATAGACCAGGACTGAATGGGTGTTCCTGGGGATACCAATGAAAGCTGTCAAGATTACAGAAGGGTCACAAAAGACAGAAAGCATTTTAAGTATTGTAAATGCTCTCTGAAGGTAACAGCCAAAACCTAACCAAATCCAATCATCGTGCTTAAGAGCGAATACTTAAACTTAGTATTTGAACACCATTTTAAATATTCAAACAACTTTAGAAACATAAAACCACTATGAAGTGCTTTTAGCCTCAGCTTATAAATGGAGAAAGCAAGATTTATAGGGTTTATTAATGAATGACTTGAATAAAGCTGTGCAGAAAGCTAAGACAATTTGGGAGATTATTGTCTGAGACTGTCCAAAAGCAGACGATACCCTTCATGTATTTCACCTTCATATATTTGGCTTCCTTTTGGTAATAGGATGAATCTATTTGGCAAATTCCCAACTGTCAAGCAACCTCCATCTTCTCAAAATGTTCCACATACTCAGTCCCTCCTTACTAATTTTGACATTCTCCAAAAAGTAAGAAAACGTACTGAAGGATTTAAAAGAACACTGGAAACATGGACAATCTAGCCAATTTTATAATAATAAAATGTTATTTCAGCTGCTGCATATGTTCTGGGGCCTCTAATAGATTTTGTTGCATAACAGCCTCAAGGGCTTTCAGAATTTTTGTAATACCTGCTATACTTGGAAAATAGCATGATTTTGGGCTCAGAACCCTTTGTTCAGGTCATAACACAGTATTATATTCTACTATAGCACATCGCACAGTAATTCTGATAGAAGGCATCAGATCCACACTTCTAAACCATACCAAAGAGCAGAATGAGAAACGGAGAAGAGTATAAAGTCTTCCAAAATATTATGGGTTCTTCTGCTTTCAGTTAACCTCTGGTAATTTTATATTGCTTTATAAAAATAATTTTATTTCACTCAGGTGAGAGGGATGCACTAAAAAAAAGGTAAAGCATGATCTTAACTTTACAAAATAAACTGAGAAAACAGTTTTTTCTCTTACCTACTTTCTCTCAGTTGTAGTTTTCTTTGAGGTTGCTGTGACATCAATCAGTCCAGTAATTTCACAGAAAAGTATGATTATGCTCTCATGGTGTTTCAGCATTTTCCACATAGATATATAGAAATAAACAATAATCTTTGCCCTCGATCTTTCACCATTGCTACCATTATAAATTCTACGTATGAATACATACAGCGTCAGGAAGTGATGATCCCTTATCAACACTGAAAAATATCTTTAACTGAACCAGAGAAAATGGCTTGCTTGAGAGAACCAAAAAGAAAATGTTCTTCAACTAACTCTTGCCGACGCGCACCAAACCAGTCTGGCACTTTGTTTGACTCAGTAACTCTACTGATTGCCAATATAGGTGTCAATGAGCACCAGCTGGTAATGAGGAGAGACCTGGTTGGGTATCACTGCCTCATTTCACCTAGGTCACCTAACAGCTGTTACACAGTTGTGATTTTCATTTACAGCTGCTCTGGGCCAGATATAAACCACTGACCTAGGAGTAAAAGATATGATGATATTCTATTTGTAATTCCTTGGAACTTCCAGCACCCTAGCTAGAAATTGTTACAAGCATTACTCTGCCTCAGTGCAAGCCCCTCTCAAAAATATGCATGCATGTTCTCCAAAAAATTTAAATGACCTTTGGCAAATGGGAAATTGCCACAGTCTTTATGTTTGCAAACAAAAAATAAATGAAGAATTTTAACATCTATTAAATTGCTAACTTATAAAGGAGCCTTGTCATTACATTCCCAGCTTTACAAAAATTATGATTTACAGCTCTGGAAAAAGCCCATATATCTATTTGGGAAGTAACAGTTCAGTCTAGATTGGTTAATCTAGGTAGGCT